AGAGACCCGTAGGGACCCCATAGAGACCCATAGAGACCCCATCGAGACCCATCGAGACCCATAGAGACCCCATAGAGACCCGTAGGGACCCCATAGAGACCCCATAGAGACCCATAGAGACCCATAGAGACCCCATAGAGACCCATAGAGACCCATAGAGACCCCATAGAGACCCTATAGAGACCCCATAGAGACCCCATAGAGACCCCATAGAGACCCATAGAGAACCTATAGAGACCCATAGAGACCCCATAGAGACCCCATAGAGACCCCATAGGAACCCTATAGAGACCCTATAGGGACCCCATAGGGACCCTAGAGACTCCCTAGAGACCCCATAGAGACCCCATAGGGACCCCATAGAGACGCCATAGAGACCCCATAGAGACCCTGTAGAGACCCCATAGGAACCCTATAGAGACCCCATAGAGACCCCATAGAGATGCCATAGAGACCCCATAGAGACCCTATAGGCACAACCATCTACCCCCATAGACACCCATACACGCTATAGACACCCGTGTAACCCTATAGACACCCATGTGCCCTATAGACACCCATGTACACCTATAGACACCCCTGTAACCCTATAGACACACAGGCACCCCTATAGACACCCATGTGGTGTCCTATAGACAACCCACCTGGTCCTGTAGACACCATATACCCTTATATAGACACCCATGCACCCCTATAGACATCCCTATAGACACCCATTCTCCCTAGAGACACCCATGCACCCCTTATATACGCTCATGTACCCTAGAGAGGCCCATCCCCCTTATAGACACCCACCTGCTCCTATAGACCCCCATGTACCCCTATAGGCCCCAGACCCCCTATAGACACCCCTATAGACACCCGTGTACCCCTATAGGCCCCATACCCCCTATAGACAGCCCTATAGACACCCGTGTACCCCTATAGGCCCCATACCCCCTATAGACACCTCTATAGACACCCGTGTACCCCTATAGGCCCCAGACCCCCTATAGACACCCTATAGTACCCCCATGTACCCCTATAGGCCCCTATACCCCCTATAGACCCCCATGTACCCCTACCCCATATATGTACCCCTATAGACCCCCATGTACCCCTATAGGCCCCAGACCCCCAACAGAAACCCCTATAGACACCTGTGTACCCCTATAGGCCCCATACCCCCTATAGACACCCCTATAGACACCCGTGTACCCCTATAGGCCCCATACCCCCTATAGACTCCCCTATAGACCCCCATGCACCCCTATAGACCCCATACCCCCATAGACCCCCATGTACCCCTGTAAACCCCATACCCCCTATAGACACCTCTATAGACCCCCATGTACCTCTATAGACCCCATGACCGCACTTGAGACCCTTGTACCCCTGTAAACCCCATACCCCCATAGACACCTCTATAGACCCCCATGTACCCCTATAGACCCCATACCCCCTATAGACACCTCTATAGACCCCCATGTACCCCTATAGACCCCATACCCCCTATAGACCCCCTATAGACCCCCATGTACCCCTATAGACCCCATACCCCCTATAGACCCCTATAGACCCCATACCCCCTATAGACCCCCATGTACCCCTATAGACCCCTATAGACCCCCTATAGACCCCCATGCACCCCTATAGACCCCATACCCCCTATAGACACCCCTATAGACCCCCATACCCCCTATAGACCCCATACCCCCTATAGACCCCCATGTACCCCTAGAGACCCCATACCCCCTATAGACCCCCCTATAGACCCCAGTGAAAGCTCCCGCAGCCGCCTCCAGCCGAAGCTTTATTCACATCCGGGTACAGAGACAGGACCCGGGGGGGGGGAGGGCCCCCCTCCTCCCCCTCCCCCTCCCCCCCAACCCCACGGGGGGGGGAGGGGCTCGTGTCCCCTGTGATCGACTTTATTAATGATTAATTATTAATGATTTGTACATCAGCTTCTGCCTTTTAATAATAACAAGAATTCCTCATAATAAATAAGGATAAGAAACCCTAAAAAACCACCAACGAAAACGGGGCGAAAAGAGGGGAAAACGGGCAAAAAGCGACCGAAAAAAAAACCAAAAAAAAACAAACAAAAAAAGGCCCCAACGGAAGGAGAAATTAATTAATTTAATTAATTAATGGGGGCGGGGGGGGGGGGGGGGAAAAGGGACCCCTCCCCCCCCTTCCCCTCCCCCCAGGTGCCTGGCAGTGAGTGGAGCTGGGAGGTAGCGTGGGGTAAAGCCCCCTCCCCCCCACTATGGGGCACCCCCCATGTCACCCATGGGGCACCCCCCCTATGGGACCAGCATCTGGCTTCAAAGTGAAGTGGGTGAGGAATGGGTCTCTTAACAGGGCTCTAGATGCTGATGGGTGGCCCCTTGGCACCCGTTGGGTGCTGAGTGAAGCCACTGGGTGCTGCTCAAACTCATTGGGTGCTCCTCAACTCATTGGGTGCTCCTCAACCCATTGGGTGCTCCTCAACTCATTGGGTGCTCCTCAACTCATTGGGTGCTCCTCAAAGTGGTTGGGTGCTCCTCAAACTTGTTGGGTGCTGCTCAAACCCATTGGGTGCTCCTCAACTCATTGGGTGCTCCTCAGACCCACTGGGTGCTCCTCAACTCATTGGGTGCTCCTCAACTCATTGGGTGCTCCTCAACTCATTGGGTGCTCCTCAAACTGGTTGGGTGCTCCTCAAACTTGTTGGGTGCTGCTCAAACCCATTGGGTGCTCCTCAACTCATTGGGTGCTCCTCAAACCCACTGCGTGCTCCACAACTCATTGGGTGCAGCTCAAACTCACTGGGTGCTGCTCAAACCCACTGGGTGCTCCTCAACTCACTGGGTGCTCCTCAACCCATTGGGTGCTCCTCAACTCATTGGGTGCTCCTCAAACTCACTGGGTGCTCCTCAAACTCATTGGGTGTTCCTCAGACCCACTGGGTGCTCTTCAACTCACTGGGTGCTCCTCAACCCATTGGGTGCTCCTCAACTCATTGGGTGCTCCTCAACCCATTGGGTGCTCCTCAACTCATTGGGTGCTCTTCAACTCATTGGGTGCTCCTCAGACCCATTGGATGCTCCTCAACTCACTGGGTGCTCTTCAGCTCATTGGGTGCTCCTCAGACCCACTGGATGCTCCTCAACATATTGGGTGCTCTTCAGACCCACTGGATGCTCATCTCATTGGGTGCTCCTCAGACCCACTGGATGCTCCTCAACCCATTGGGTGCTCCTCAGACCCATTGGATGCTCCTCAAGTCATTGGGTGCTCCTCACCCTCCACTGGGTGCCAACCACCATCCATTTGGTGCTCCTTAAACCCACTGGGTGCTCCTCAGACCCATTGGGTGTGACTACCACCACCTATTGGGTGCCCTCCTTGGTTCTGCTTTGCCCCAGGTGGAGCTGAAGGCACTTGGGGGGCAGCCATGGGGAAGGAATGGGAAGGGGGTGGTGGATGAGGGGGCTGGGGGGTGCTGGAGATGGTGGGTGCCAAGAAGGGTCCTCGAGGGGCAGGGGATGGTGCCTGCAAGGATGGGTCCAGAAGGAGATGATGGGTGCCAAGGTGGGTGCAGAAGGAGCAGGAGATGATGGGTGCAGAAGGAGCAGGAGGAGATGATGGGTGCCAAGGTGGGTGCAGAAGGAGCAGGAGATGATGGGTGCCAAGGTGGGTCCAGAAGGAGCAAGAGATGATGGGTGCCAAGGTGGGTCCAGAAGGAGCAGGAGGAGATGATGGGTGCCAAGGTGGGTCCAGAAGGAGCAGGAGGAGATGATGGGTGCCAAGGTGGGTCCAGAAGGAGCAGGAGGAGATGGGTGCCAAGGTGGGTGCATAAGGAGCAGGAGGAGATGATGGGTGCCAAGGTGGGTCCAGAAGGAGCAGGAGATGATGGGTGCCAAGGTGGGTCCAGAAGGAGCAGGAGATGATGGGTGCCAAGGTGGGTGCAGAAGGAGCAGGAGATGATGGGTGCCAAGGTGGGTGCAGAAGGAGCAGGAGATGATGGGTGCCAAGGTGGGTCCAGAAGGAGCAGGAGATGATGGGTGCCAAGGTGGGTGCAGAAGGAGCAGGTGATGATAGGTCCCAAAGTGGGTCCAGAAGGAGCAGGAGGAGATGATGGGTGCCAAAGTGGGTGCAGAAGGAGCAGGAGGAGATGATGAGTGCCAAGGTGGGTGCAGAAGGAGCAGAAGGTGATGGGTGTCAACATGGGTCCAGCAGGGCCAAGCAGATGATGGGCACCAAGATGGTTTATGCAGGACCAGGAGGAGATGATGGGCACCAAGATGGGTCCAGGAGGACCAGTAGGACACGGCATGCCAAGATGGGTCCAGTAGGGTAAAGCAGAGATGATGGGCACCAAGGTGGGTCCAACAGGAGATGATGGGTGTCAAAATGTGTCCATCAGGGCCAAGCAGATGATGGGCACCAAGAGGGTTTATGTAGGACCAGAAGCAGATGATGGGCACCAAGATGGGTCCCTGAGGACCAGTAGGACACAACATGCCAAGATGGGTCCAGTAGGGCAGAGATGATGGGCACCAAGGTGGGTCCAACAGGAGATGATGGGTGTCAAAATGTGTCCATCAGGGCCAAGCAGATGATGGGTGCCAAAATGAGCTGGCCAGAAGCAGGAGGAGATGATGGGCTCCAAGATGGGTCCAGCAGATGATGGGCACCAAGATGGTTTATGCAGGACCAGGAGGACACGGCATGCCAAGATGGGTCCAGTAGGGTAAGGTAGAGATGATGGGTACCAAGAGAGGTCCAGCAGGAGCAGATGACGGATGTCAAGATGAGCGCAGGAGGACCAAACAGAGATGATGGGTGCCAAGATGGTTTGGGCAGGACCAGGAGGAGATGATGGGCTCCAAGATGGGTCGGGCAGGACCAGGAGGAGATGATGGGCTCCAAGATGGTTTGGGCAGGACCAGGAGGAGATGATGGGCTCCAAGATGGGTTGGGCAGGACCAGGAGGAGATGATGGGCTCCAAGATGGGTCGGGCAGGACCAGGAGGAGATGATGGGCTCCAAGATGGTTTGGGCAGGACCAGGAGGAGATGATGGGCTCCAAGATGAGCTGGGCAGGACCAGGAGGAGATGATGGGCTCCAAGATGAGCTGGGCAGGACCAGGAGGAGATGATGGGCTCCAAGAAGGGTCCAGCAGGACATGCCAAATGCCAAGATGTGTCCAGTAAGGCAGAGATGGGCACCAGGGAAGGTCCATCAGGGGCAGAAGGAGATGATGGATGCCAAGACAAGTCCAAGAGAACCAGGAGAAGATGATGGGCACCAAGACGGGTCCAGGAGGGGATGGTGGGTACCAAGATGGCTTGGGCAGGACCAAGCGGAGGTGATGGGCACCCAGATGGCTCCAGGAGAACCAGGATGTGGTGGGTGCCAAGAAGGTTCCAGCAGGACCAGAAGGATGTGACAGATGCTGAGATGTGTCCAGCAGGAGCATGGGGAGATGATGGGCACCAAGATGGGTCCAGCAGGGTCAAGCAGAGATGATGGGCACCAAGATGGGTCCAGCAGGGTCAAGCAGAGATGATGGGCACCAAGATGGGTCCAGCAGGGTAAAGCAGAGATGATGGGCACCAAGATGGGTCCAGCAGAGACAATGGGCACCAAGATGTGTCCAGCAGGGTCAAGCAGAGATGATGGGCACCACAATGAGTTGGGCAGGACCAGGAGGAGATGATGGGCACCAAAACAGGTCCAGGAGAAGCAGGGTGAGATGATGGGTGCCAAGATCGGTCCAGCAGGAGCAGGAGGTGATGATGGGCACCAAAACAGGTCCAGGAGAAGCAGGGTGAGATGATGGGTGCCAAAGTGGGTCCAGCAGGAGCAGGAGGTGATGATGGGCACCAAGATGGGTACAGGAGGAGCAGGAGGAGATGATGGGGGTCAGGATGGGTGTTTCAAGGCCAGGAGCAGATGGTGGGTCCAGCAGACACAGTGGGTGCTCAAACAGGTCCTTTGGGTGCCAACATGAGGTGAGATGCGTCCGGTGTAGGGATGGTCACCATGATGTGTGCAGGCAGTGACCTAGCCACCAGCTCCTCCAGCACCCAAAGGTGGGCACCTGGCCTCAATGAGCCCCCCAAAGGGACCCCAGCACCCAAAGGGACCCCCCCAGCGCCACCCTTGGGTGCACCCAGCTCCAGTTGTGCCAATGGTCTCCTTCCCTATGGGCTGGGCCTCTCCTGGTCCCTCTGGTCCCCTGGTGCCACCTTCTCCATGGGCTCAGCTCAGCACCTGGAGGTCCTCCCGGCCCCACGGCTGCCCCACAGCTCTGCTCTCAACCAGCCGCCCAACCCCAACATTGATGTGGATGGACCCCAACCCTGCTCAGATGCCACCAGGTCCTCGCTGCCACCCATGACCACCCAGGACGGATGGAAGCGTCGCCCATGGGATGCTCCTCAGCTGTCCAATGGGTGCTGCCATCCCTTGGTGACCCCACCATGGCCAACCATTGGTGACCCCACCACAGCCAACCCCTTGGTGACTCCACCATGGCCATCCCTTGGTGACTCCACCATGGCCAACCCTTGGTGACCCCACCATGGCCAACCCTTGGTGACCTCACCACAGCCACACCCTTGGTGACCACCATGGCCAACCCCTTGGTGACCCCACCACGGCCATCCCTTGGTGACCCCACCATGGCCAACCCCTTGCTGACCCCACCATGGCAAACCCCTTGGTGACCTCACCATGGCCAACCCCTTGGTGACCCCACCATGGCCAATCCATCGGTGACCTCACCATGGCAAACCCTTAGTGACCACACCATGGCCAACCCTTGGTGACCCCACCATGGCCAACCCTTGGTGACTCCCACCATGGCCAACCCTTAGTGACTCCACCATGGCCAACCCCTTGGTGACTCCCACCATGGCCAATCCATCGGTGACCCCACCACGGCCAATCCATCGGTGACTCCACCATGGCCAACCCTTGGTGACCCCACCATGGCCAATCCATCGGTGACCCCACCATGGCCATCCCTTGGTGACCCCACCATGGCCATCCCTTGGTGACCCCACCATGGCCAACCATTGGTGACCCCACCATAGCCAATCCATTGGTGACAACCATGGCCATCCCTTCGTGACCCCACCATGGCCATCCCTTGGTGACACCACCATGGCCAACCATTGGTGACCCCACCATAGCCAATCCATTGGTGACAACCATGGCCATCCCTTGGTGACCCCACCATGGCCAATCCATCGGTGACCCCACCACAGCCAATCCATTGGTGACCCCACCATGGCCATCCCTTGGTGACCCCACCATGGCCAACCATTGGTGACCCCACCATAGCCAATCCATTGGTGACAACCATGGCCATCCCTTGGTGACCCCACCATGGCCAATCCATCGGTGACCCCACCATAGCCAATCCATTGGTGACCCCACCATAGCCAATCCATTGGTGACAACCATGACCATCCCTTGGTGACCCCACCATGGCCAACCCCTCCGGCTGGTCACGATGTGACCAGTGCCACAGTCAGGATGGGGCTTGGTTGATCCCATGTCTCACTGCAGGGGGGCCGGTGAAGGTGCCACCACCCCCCCCCGCCCAGCACTCATCCTCTGGTGGGGTCCATGTGGGGTCTTGGGGCGGGAAGGTGGGGGGACACCTCGGGTGGCGGGTGCTATAGGACGCCCTCCATGAAGCTGGTGTCGAGGTGCTGGATGAGCACCCGGATGAAGGACATCTCCTTGCGCGTGTTCTCGAAGATGATCCGGGGGTCGTCCGATTGGCAGCGCAGGCAGTTGGGGGCCATCACCATGGCCAGGTTATTGACGTCCATCTTGGTGACCGCCACGTTGCCCGGCTGCACGAACACCTATGGGGCAGGCAGGAGGAAGGGGGTGGCGAGGCCGTGTGTGGACACAATGGGTCTTGGGTGAGATGGGGGAGGACCGCATGGAACGGGCTGGGTTGGAAGGGAGATTGAAGATGATCCAGTTCTAAGCCCCTGCCATGGGCAAGATGGAGATGCTCTGGAAGAGGTGATGGAGATGAGAAGGGGTCTGAAGCCACCCCACAAGAGGGGACCTGGAGGATGGCCAGGACCATGGGACCTCAAATCTGGAGCCGGCTCATGGAGTCATGGAACGGGTTGGTTTGAAGGGAACTGAAAACTCCCCGATTTCCAACCATTACAATGGGCATGGTCGCCTTCCACTGGGGCAGGGTGCTGCTCCATGGTGGACTCCATGGGCTGGGAGCATCCATTCGTCAACATTGCTGTCCCCACGTCCTCTGCTCTCCATCCCATCATGCCCAGTCTCTTTCGGTACCACAGATAACACCCAGCCCACTGCAGGACCTTGCCCTGCGCCTGGCTTCAACGCTAACCCTAACCCTAACCCTAAATCCAACCCCAACCCTAACACCAACGCTAACATTAACACCAACCCTAAACCCAACCCCAAACCTAACCCTAACCCTAACCCCAACCCCAACCCCCACCCTAACCCCAACCCTAACATTAACCCCAACCCTAACCCCAACCCCAACCCCAACCCCAACCCTAACCCCAACCCCAACCCTAACCCCAACCCTAACCCTAACCCCAACCCTAACCCCAACCCTAACCCCAACCCCAACCCCAACCCCCACCCTAACCCCAACCCTAACATTAACCCCAACCCTAACCCCAAACCCAAACCTAACCCTAACCCCAACCCTAACCCCAACCCTAACCCTAACCCTAACCCTAACCCTAACCCTAACCCTAACCTCAAACCTAACCCCAACCCTAACATTAACCCCAACCCTAACCCCAACCCTAACCCCAACCCTAACCCTAACCCCAACCCTAACCCTAACCCTAACCCTAACCCCAACCCTAACCCCAACCCTAACCCTAACCCCAACCCTAACCCTAACCCCACCCCTAACCCTAACCCCAACCCTAACCCCAACCCTAACCCTCCTGACACCCATACAGCTCCCACTTCTCCACCCCCTTCCAGGTCCTTCAGGTGGGCAAAACCCCAGCCCTTGACTTGGTGGCATCTCCAAAGGTGCTGTGGGGTCACCAGAACCCACCTGCACCCCTGAACACAGCCATGAGTGACACCATGGGCTCGACCGGGTGTTCCAACCGGGCCTCGAGCCCTGCCAGGGATGGGGCAACCACAGCCACGGAGCCCCCTTCCCCCCCGCCCCAAGCGCTATGGGGTCACCCCGGTGGGTCCCGGCCGTACCTGTAGGAAGCGGATGAGGTAGCACAGCACCATCTTGTTGATCCTGGGCAGGGAGTGGACAACGGCGATGGCCGCCTCGGGGTTCTCGTAGTGGGTGATGCACTGCTCATAGAAGTCGTGGGGGATGAGGGGTTCCTCCAGCTCCCGGTACCAGAGCTTCAGCAGGGAGGCTGTACGGGGAAGGAGGACATGGGGTGCTATGGGGTGGGGGTTCTGCACCTCCCCGCACTCATCCGTCGCCCTCCCGGGTCCTACCGGGAACGTGGGGGTCCTCCAAGCCCGTTGGGATCTTCCATTGGTCCACCTGGAGCTTGAGCGCGTTGACCTCGTCGATGTCGCCGGGGACCCTGAAGGGGGAAGAGATGTTGGGTGTCAAGCAAGAGGTGGGGACCTACCTGCCTCAGACCCACCTTGGGTCCCTCATGTGGGGCCCAAGAGCTGGAGGTGGAGGTGTTTTGGGACCTGGGTTCTGCCCATGGGGAGGAGGCATCCTGCTGTGATGGACCAGGGGAGGTTTGTATGGGAACCCCAAGACCTCAGCTTGGCTTTGGTGGACACCAAAGGATGGGCATGACCCCGACGTGGAGAAACCCCCAATGGTCTCGGAGCAAGGAGAAGTTGAGCTGCTCAAGGAGGAAAAGGGCCCCCATAGGGATGTGGGGCACAGGTTGGCTGCCCCATAAGGAGATGACCTGTTATGGGCTTCCCCCATAAGATGACCATGCTGGGGGTCTCCAGCAACCACAGATGAATGGGGATGTGGGAAATGATGTGGTTGCCCCATAGGACGACTTGTTATGGGCTCCCCCCATGAGCAGGTCACCAAACTGAGGGTCTCCTGCAGCTGTAGATGAATGGGGATGTGGGGAATGATGTGGTTGCCCCATAGGATGACTTGTTATGGGCTCCCCCCATCAGAAGGTCACCAAACTGAGGGTCTCCTGCAACCACAGATGAATGGGGATGTGGGGAATAATGTGGTTGCCCCATAGGACGACTTGTTATGGGCTTCCCCCATCAGAAGGTCACCATGTTGGGGGTGTCCAGCAACCACGGATGAATGGGGATGTGGGGAATGATGTGGTTGCCCCATAGGATGACTTGTTATGGGCTCCCCCCCATGAGCAGGTCACCATGCTGGGGGTCTCCAGCAGCTGTAGATGAATGGGGATGCGGGGAATGATGTGGTTGCCCCATAGGATGACTTGTTATGGGCTTCCCCCATCAGAAGGTCACCAAACTGAGGGTCTCCTGCAGCTGTAGATGAATGGGGATGTGGGGAATGATGTGGCTGCCCCATAGGATGACTTGTTATGGGCTTCCCCAATGAGAAGGTCACCAAACTGAGGGTCTCCTGCAACCATAGGTGAACGGGGATGTGGGGAATGATGTGGTTGCCCCATAGGATGACTTGTTATGGGCGTCCCCCATCAGAAGGTCACCATGTTGGGGGTCTCCAGCAACCACAGATGAATGGGGATGTGGGAATGATGTGGCTGCCCCATAGGACAACTTGTTATGGGCTTCCCCCATCAGAAGGTCACCATGCTGGGGGTCTCCAGCAACCATAGGTGAATGGGAATGTGGGGAATGATGTCGTTGCTCCATAGGACGACTTGTTATGGGCTTCCCACATGAGCAGGTCACTATGCTGGGGGTCTCCTGCAACCATAGGTGAATGGGGATGTGGGGAATGATGTGGTTGCCCCATAGG